GCGCCGGCGCCGGTGCCGGGCATCGGGGGGGGTTCTTCAGTCACCGCGGCGCCCTCGCCGGCCACCGCCGTACCTGCGGCCGATGCCGCACCGCCGCCGCCCCCGCCATCAAGAACGTACACCTACACCGCCTGCACTAGCGACCACCGCGCCGCCGCAGCCCGCTTCCCCGCCGATCTTCACAGGATCCTCAAAAATGTGATCCTGCCGGGTGCAAATGAGCTCTGAGCATATCTTTTGTTCGATAAAGTTACACCATTAGACTAGTCAGCACCATTAGACAAGCCAGCACTGACTAGTCTAATGGTGTAACTTTATCGAACAGTAGCCACTTTGCGAATAGCAAGACGGGCGTACACAGCCTGCGACAGTTTAGAACAAAACTGAGAGCCACTATCAGACAACAGACTCAAAGGGCAACCCCACAAAGGGACATACCGATTGACAAGTACATCAGCGGTGCTTTCGGCGGTGAATTCTGCAGCCGTAACCGCGTACATATCAGCACGGCGGCTGAAACGATCAGTGAAGAGCAGAATATATTATGTGTTTCCGCGCGGGGTCAACGGGAGGGGGCCGAAATAATCGACGCTTACCGACACACCAGGGACCGAAGGCAGCGGAAGGCACAGAGTAGGCCATCGAGGCGTCTGACGAGATGATTTGATGGCTTGGCATCGCAAACAATGCCGTACCCATCATTTCGTGCAAACACTCGTGCCAACCCACCAATAGAAACGTTCCAGCATGCTAAGCGTGCGAGCTGCACCGAGGTGGCAGGAGGCATCAGCGTGACAGGCTTGCATGATCCACGGACGCATGGGCATAGGAACATAAATCCGAATGGGTTCGTCGTTGAGAAGGCGAGCAGCACGCCCACCAGGACGTGCGGTCGTAGACGACGGGGGTGCTGTGTGCTTGCGAACAAGCAAGACCAACCCATCATCGTCAACATGTAACCGTCCTTTGTTAGACAGGTCATGGATCTCCGACAGAGAAGGTCGACGAGCGGACGGAAGATGATCCAGGAAATCCGAAGGGAGGGCCGAAGGCCGACCCAGAAGGATAGCTGCATCACAAACAGGTTCGTTACTTTGCTCGCGAGCCCAATCAGCATGCGACAAACGTTCGACAGACGCCCGGAAAGCTAAATCTGCCGAAGAATGTAAAGCCGCCTCGATAGAAGAGGGAGCCGATTCATGAGGCTCCGATTGCAATCCACCCGAAGGCAGAGCAGCAGCGGAAACCGAAGACGAAGGCGTACGAGTGGTTGAGACCGAACTCGTCGGAAATTTCGAATTATCGGGGACAGCAGGGGATTGCTGGGTAGGGTCAAACGAAGTTGCGGGATGGGTCGAAGATGCTAGACCCCTCCCACGAGCCAGGGGCGTAGGAGGGTCCGGGATCGAACCATCAGCACCAGGAGTCGAAACCAACCTGGGCAACACGGGGGGCGTAGTCGATGCGGAAAACGCGGGCGGAGAGCGTCGAAACGATCGAGGCGAAGCGGAAATCCGATTGGGAGCAGATGGGTCCTCAGAGAAGCAAAAGTCCACAGGCGGGAGGGGCGTGCCCGCCACAACCGCCTCACGACGACGAGTCCTCGTGGAAATCACTTGAGCAGGGTCGAGAGTCCTTCGTGATGTGGCGGTCGGCGAGATGGCCGGCGGAGACTCGGGTGCGAGCGCCATAACATGTTTGGGTGCGGTAGTTCGTCAGAGGCCGAAAGAGAAAGAAGGTTGACTCAAGACCTTGTTGCTTAGAGAGT